CCTCTGTGTTTCTCTGTATCTCCTCTCTCTCCCCTCCATCTCTCTTTCTCTACCACTCTCCTCTGTGTTTCTCTGTATCTCCTCTCTCTCCCCTCATCTCTTTCTCTATGTCTCCCTCCATCTATCTCCCCCACTTCCATCTCTCCCCACTTCCAATGTCTCGCTCAGCCTATCTCTCTCTCTCCTCTATGTGTTTCTCCGTATCTCCTCTCTCTCCCTTGCCAGTCTCTCTCCATCTCTCTTGCCATCATCTCTGTCTCTACCTTCATCTCTTTGCCTCATTCCTCTCTCTCTCTTCCCTAAGTTCCTCTTTTTATAGCTAAATGAAAACTCAGATGGCACCTTCCTAGTGAGAAATTTAACCTACCAGTTTGGTATGCAGCTTCTGCTGCCATCTCTGAAAGACCAATTGCAGTCATCCAGGTTGTTTCCAACTTCAAGTATTCCTGTTGTTTTGAAGTCATCTGTAAATTAGGCAAAGCACTTCAGACAACATGAAGAGATTAAACATCTGAATGGACTTACTCAAAATAGTATATTTAGAGAATAGTTATGGGTTAGATACAATTGAATAATGTAGATAACCACAATGTGGGAGGAGCACTAATACAGAAATATCTAAAACGTTTTGCTTACCTCAACCCTGGCTCCTATGATCACCTGCCACACTTCATCCTCCTCCTGTGAATTCATTTTCCCAAGTAAACTTGTATATTGTCGGTACAGTGAAATTAAGGTATAAACAGCCTAAAAATGTAAATAGGTCTGAGTAAAATAAGTGTGGCTTATTAGGAGAATTAGTGAGACCACACCTCAAGAAGATGAAGTCCCTTTTGCCTCACTGAAACTGCACTATTGTTACATGAAGTAGAGACATCATTCCAGCACATTCCAGGAGGGGTAATTCTAGGATATCAGCATCTCCACTTGACAACTTTTGTATTTTTAAAAGCTTGTCAGCAATTCAGACATAGAAAGAGAAAGAGAACATGATGCAGAGGGAAAACTCAAGAGGCTGAGAAAAAAGCAGCTGGAAAATACAGGTAAAATAAATGTATGAATGAGATTTTTAAATAAGTTTGATTTTGATTATACATATATTCTCCTCTTTTCCCATTAGGTCAGACTGGTGGTGGCATCTGGACCCCTTTATCTGAACCAGCTTGGCTCTCCTGTTTTATATACTGGGCTGCGATAGATAAGATTTTGCCCTAAAAAAGGGTTCCTGAAGAAAGTGAAGAAAGTCTAAAAAACCAGTGGTTTAGATCGGAGCTCAGAAGTTTTTGGTAAAGGGTCAGAGAGTAAATATTTTAGGTGTTGTGGGCCCCACAGACTCTGTCACAACTACTCAAGTCTGCTGTTGTAGCACAAAAGCAGCCACAGACAATAACAATATATACATACATAAGCCTGGCTATGTTCCAGTAAAACTAAAAAAACAGGCAGCAGGCTGGATTTGGCCTTTGGGCCATGGTTTGCTAACTTCTGGCTTAGATGCTCCATACTCCTTCCCTGCTGGAGAAGACTTAACAAGAGGACACTTACCTTAGTGTACTCAGTGATTGCTTCAATCAGTGCGTAAGTGGTCTGAGAGAGAAAGGTGGAGGTGCTATCTGTTACCAAAGACACTGCCCTCCTCATTAATGCATCGTTACTAAGAGAATGAGGCTCCGATTTCTGAAAGACACAAACGTTGTTATTCAACTTCTAATCTACAGCTCAAGCTGAAAACTGCCATAGAAAGCCAAACAAATAGCATGGTTCTTATGCTCTTTAGCATTTTAAGCTACAGTTGGCTATTTGGGGATAGCTTTTAAAGCTTTATTTAAAAAGCCTTATTTAAGATAATATTTGGAAAGAACTCCAAAATATGCCATCTACCTACTTCCATTCTTTACTTTGGATTAACTTTTAATAAAATTATGTTTTTCTTCATGCTCCCTTCTGCTCTGAAGAGTTAAATACTTCTTTATATAAAAGGTTAGTGATTATAACCGAAAAAATTCATGAGGTTATGATTCATTCATTACCACAGTACTAGATGTTTGGGATTTAAAGATAAGTAAGACACATTCTCTGCCCTCAAAGATTTCAGAAAGGTGAAAGGGGAGGGGCAGAGAGAAGAGGATGACAGGGGCTCACAGAGAATTAGAAAAACGAAAGCAATAAAATAGGAATCTAGATTTTTTTTTGACAAAAGTGCTAAGTCCATTCAATGGGGAAAGAATAGTCTCTTTAACAAGTGGTGCAGGATTTCCATATGCAAAAGAAGGAAGCTCACACCATATACAAACATTAACTCAAAATGAACTGGGGGCTAAATGTAAGTACCATAAAACTCTTAGAAGGAAACAATGCTTTTGGATCTAGTTTTTGACAATGGATTCTTTCTTAGATATATATGCCACCAAAAGCATGAGCAGCAAAAGACAAAATAGATAAATTGGACTTCATCAAAATTTAAACCTTTGTGACTCAAAGGACTCTATCAATAAAGTAAGAGACAATTTAACCAATTTAGAGAAAATCTGAGGACACCATACATTGGATAAGGCTTTTATTTTCCAGAATATATAAAGAACTCCTACAACTTAACAACAAAAAGACAGCCCTATCAAAAAATGAGCAAAGAACTTGAAGAGACATTTCAACAAAGATGATGAAAAGATGCTCAATTTAATTAGGGAAATCAAAACCACAACGAGATATTATTTCACTCCCACTAGGAAGGATATGATCAGAAAGACAGAAAATGTGTTGATGAGGATATGCAGAAATTGGGAACCCTCATCCACTGCTCGTCGGGTTTTAAAATGGTACAATCATTCTGGAAAACAGTTTGGCAGTTCCTCAAAAAGTTAAACATAGAATTACCATATGATCCAGCGATTCCACGCCTAGGTATGAACCCAGAACAGTTGTTGACAGCAGGAACGCAAACAGATACTTGTACACCAGTGTTCTCTGCAGCACTATTCGCAAGCCAAAAGATAGAAACAACCTAAATGTCCATCAGCAGATGAATGGATAATTGCTCAGCCATAAAGAGAAATGAAATCCTGATTCATGCTACAACACGCATGAACCTTGAAAATATTATGCTGTATGAAGTAAGTCTCACAAAAGGACAAATATTGTATGCTCCCACGTCTATGAAATATCTAGAATCGGCACAGGTATAGAGACCAAAGTTTATCAGTGGTTACCAGGGGCGAGAGGGAGGGGAAAAGGGGGAGCCATTCCTTAGGGAGCACTGAGTCTCTCAAGGGCGATGCAAACAACTGGAAGCAGGTAATAGTAATGGTTGCACAACACGATGAAAGTAATGTCTAAGTTGTACATGTAAAAAATGTGAAATGGCAATACTTTTGTTATATATATTTCTACCCCACAAAAAAAGAAAAAGGCCCTGAGGGAAACTGGCCTGGGATTAAGTCACCTGTTGTGCTGACAATCTACACAATTATCAAAAAGAGGCTTGTAAAATAAGTATCCATCATAGGTGCTGTGGCAGCAGTCTGTACAGGCTGCATACAGTGGGGGCACACATAAGGAAGCAATCAGTTCTATGTTGAGTGGTGATGGCTCAGAAAAGGTTTCACAGAGTTGAGGTTTAAGCTGAGTCTAAGAAGCTAAATGGGTGGATAGGAAAGGGCAATTCTGAGCAGAATGAGCAGTACACTCACAGTCTTGGGGGGTGGAGGGACTGCTTCACCCTGACCACAGCTACTCTAAATAAAAAAAAGGTCAACATATCTTTTTTTGAATGTGAAAAAGCAATTAAAAATGGATCGAGGATCTAAATGTGAGAACTAAGACCATGAAATTCTTAGAAGAAAACATAGGGCATGACTACAGGACCTAGTTTGGGGCAATGGATTATGAGATATGACACCAAAAACACAAGCAGCAAAAGACAAAACAGATAAATGGGACCTCATAAAAATTAGATACTTCTGTTCATCAAAGGACTCTATCAATCAACCAAGTGAAGAGACAGCCTACAACTGGGAGAATATTTTTGGGAACCATATATCTGATAAGGGTCTAATATCCAAAATATATTAAAAAAACTTCTACAACTTAACAACGAAAAGACAAAAAACCCAATCAAAAAATGGGCAAAGGACTTAAACGATCATTTCACCAAAGAAGATATACCAGTGATTGGGAACAAGCACATAAAAAGGCACTCAATGTCATCAGCCATTAGGGAGATGCAAATCAAAACCACAATGAGATATCACCTCACCCCCACTAGAATGGCTATGATTAAAAAAAAAAAAAAAAAAACTTGAAAACAAAAGGTATTGGCGAGGATGTGCAGAAATTGGAACCTTCATCCATAGCTGGTGGAATGCAAAATGATACAGCCACTGTGAAAAACAGTTTGATAGTTCCTCAAAAAGTTGAACACAGAACTACCATGTGACCTACAATCCCAATCCTCAATTCCACTCCTGGACATGTACCTAAAAGATGTGAAAGCAGGAATGCAAACAGAAACCAGAACACCAATGTTCATGGCAGCACTATTTACAACAGACAAACGGTAGAAACAACTTAAATGTCCATCAACAGAGGAATGGATACACACGATGTGGTATATACGTAAAGAAATGAAGTCCTGATGCATGCCACAATGGATGAACCTTGAAAACATTATGCTGAGTAAAACAAGTTAGTCACAAAAGGACAAGTACTGTATAATTTCTTATGAAATACGCAAATATATACAAGCCAAAGCTTATTAGTGGTTTTGGGGGACAGGGGGAGGAATTACTGTTTAGGGAGCAATGAGTTTATGTTACTGATGGTTGAGCAAGTTAGAACAGGACAGTCACAATAATTGCACAACACGAAGACTGTAATAAATGTCACTGAATGAGACAAGTAAAAACTGTTGAACTGGCAAAGGTTTTGTTACGTATATTTTCACAACTGAAAAAAGTGAAGGAATGTGGCAACCTTGACTAAATACTGGCAATTGTAATGACAGGTCTTCAGTGACTATGCCTTTTTTCTCTTTGGCAGAGCATTTCCTGTCAGAAGTGACAAAGACAAGAAACCAACCCCTCTATTCCTCTTATTATCTATTTTGTCTTGTTTCTGATATTTAGAGCGTAAACACGTAGAATCACTGCCTGTAGAAAGTAGCAGTCAAATATTTTTGATATGTGAACAAATCAATTTTATTTACCATATTTATATGTCAGTCAATCAAATAATTATCAAGTATTCATTATGTAGCTTGCACTGAGGGACTAAAAAGCAAAGAAAGAAATTATCTCTGCTGCCAAGAAGCTAGTTCTGACATAATATTATTCTGGTAACAAGTCTGCATGATGCTATTCATTTTACAGTGTGCTCTCACTTGTTCCTCACAACAGTCCAGTTATTATCACTTCATTTTTACACACGAGGAAATGGAAGCTCAGAAAGGTTAAGGAACTTTCCCAAAGCCACACATCTAGACCTCAACCCAAACTGTCTCTCTCCCAAGTTTATACCCTTTCATTACTCTCGGCTGACAGCAGAGTGCCACCAGGATTATCACCAAATATCACTGTACATAGTGGTCAGAAAGAGGGAGATGACTGTTGGCAAGCAACTGTGAAAGGCTTCAGAGAGAGGTGGGATTTGGTCCTGGCCTTGAAGACAGCTAGGATATGAATGGTCAGACATCACAGGGAGGAAGAAACAATGAAGAACAGAAGAATAAATCTGTTGCCTGCAGGGGATATTCAGAAACCTAGCCTGGCTGCAGCAGATGGTACAAAGCAGATGAGACTGGCTAGGGCACTGGAGCACAGGGAGAATTAGTTGGGTTTTAATTCTGTAACAAGGAGCCAATGTAGGTTTTGAAGAACAGAAGTGGGACTGTTGTACAGCAGGGGAATGACTAGAGGCTCCTGTCATAGAATTAAAAAGTAGCTCCATGAACTAATAAAGGACAAAAAAAAAACAAAACAAAAAAAACAACTCACTGCAATCAAGTCAATTTCGACTCATAGTGACCCTTAGGACAGAGGAGAACTGCCCCAGAGGATTTCCAAGGTTGTAAATCTTCATGGAAGGAGACTGCCACATCTTTCTCCCACGGATCGGCTGGTGGGTCTAAACTGCCAAACTTTCAGTTGGCAGCTGAGTGCTTTAACCACTGTGCCACCAGGGCTCCTTATTAAAGGACACATCCCAAAAAAATCTTTCCAAGGAAGAAAGCAAGGCTGCCCTAATTGTAGCTGAAAATGCCTGGTGTTCAGAGGAGGGTTTTAGGGCAATAATCTAGGAAGACCATGAATCATCGGCACGTAGAGATGACAGGTGAAATGAGGCACAGAGGGGTGTGGGCTCATGCGTGCACCTCAGAACATGTGAGAATACTTGTGCTAAATGGAATTAATCTTGTTGTTGTGATCACAGCACGCACGTAAATATTGCTGAAATGGGGCTTGCCGATTTCCTATCTTGCTCTTCCCCATAAAAAAAGTGTTTTTTTTAATGAGGTGCCACTTTCACATCAACTGCCCACTTGACACCTCTACCTAGATGTCTCTAAAGCATCTCAGACTGACATTCCCAAGATTAAATTCTTGCTGTCCTCCTCCTGAAGTCCACTACTTTCCATCCCAGTAAATGGCAACTCGAACTCTGTTCTTTCTACTGCTTCTTGTAGTCTTGTGCCCTGGAGTCGATTCTGACTCATGATGACCCCATGTGTTACAGAGTAGAACTGTTCCATAGGGTTTTTGTTTTCTTTTTAATTATTATCATAATTTTTAAAAATTTATTTTGTTGTTGAGAATATACACAGTAAAACATATACCAACTCAACCATTTCTACATGTACAGTTCAGTGACACTGATTATATTCTTTGAGTTGTGCAACCATTCTTACCCTCCTTTTCCATAAGGTTTTCTTGGCTGTAATCATTAAGGAAGCACATTGCCAGGCCTTTATTCCACAGCATCTCTCGGTGGGTTCAAACTGCCAACCTTCCAGTTACCAAGCAAGTACACACTGTTTGTGCCACTCAGGGACCTCAGGCTTTTTAAAAACCTTGGGATCTACACTGTATAGTCCACATTCAATTCATCAGCAACTCCTGTTCATCAGATTAGGCCCACTTCTCCCCATCTCCACTACCACCATCCTAGTCCAAGTCACTATCATCGAAAGCCTGCATTATAGCAATAGCCTCCTACTGGTCTTCTTAGTTCCACACAGCAACCTCTTAAAACCCTTAGACCTTCTAAACTTATGTCAGATCGTAATGAAAAAAAAATCAAAACAAAAAACCAAACCCATTGCCATCGAGTCGACTCTGACTCATAACGACCCTGTCTAGGGTTTCCAAGGCTGTAAATCATTACGGAAGCAGACTTCTACATCTTTCTCCAGCAGAGCTGCTGGTGGGTTTGAACTTCTGATCTTTCGGTTAGCAGCCAAGCACTTAACCACTGAGCCACCAGGGCTCCTTCCGGATCACAACAGCCCTGTGTTAAAGTCTTCTATGGTTTTCTTTTCAGAATAAAATCTAGAGCCTCACAATGGCCCACAAAATACAAAGCACATGATTTGATCCTCAGCTAACTCTCAGGCCTCAACTTGTACTCTCTCTTCCTCATTCCGTTCCAGTCACACTGACCTCCTTGATGTTCCTCAAACATCTCAAGCATACTCTTGTTTCTGAGCCTTCTGCCTAAAAACTCTTCCCCCAGATATTATCATGGCTCACTCTCTCAGGTCATTTTGAGAAGCCCTCCCTGACCACCCTATCTAAAATAAAACCACTCCCTATTTGCTTATCCTATTTCAGTTTCATCACAGCACTTGTCACCACATGATATATTTATTTTTTCCACGCTGCCAAAATATAAATTCTATGAGAACAGGAACTGTTTTGCTCACTCTTGCACATAAACATTGCTCAACAAACTTTGGTCAAACGAAAAACTATTTTGTTGACAGGCTCTCTTCTTACTCCCTCTTCCCCTCTTTACACAACTTGACATGTTACGTGACATATTGTTCCTACTAAACAAGACAATCAAAATGGGAATGTAAAAAGAAGATGCTTAGATAAACAAAGTATGGTATATATACAAAATGGAATACTATGCAATGATAAAGAACAATGATGAATCCGCGAAACATCTCACAACATGGATGAATCTGGAGAACACATTATGCTGAGTGAAATAAGTCAATCACAATAGGGTAAATATTGTATGAGACTACTATTATAAGAACTTAAGAAAAGGTTTACACACAGAAAAACAATTATTTGATGTTTACGAGGGTGGGGAGGGAAGGGAGAGGGGAAATCACTAGATATTCGACAAGCATCAACTTCGGTGACAGAAGAACAACACACAATGTAGGAAAAGTCTGCAAAACTGGACCAAAGCAAGAGCACAGGAGTTTTCCAGACACATTCAAACACTTTGAGGGACCTAGTAGCTGGGGCTGGGGGCTGGAGACCATAGTCTCAGGGGACATCTAGGTCAACTGACATATCATAGTTCATAAAGAAAATGTTCAACATCCCACTGTGTGAGTAGCATCTGGGGTCTTAAAATCTTGCAAGCGGTTATCTAAGATACTTCTTTTGGTCTCACCCTGTCTGGAGCAAAGGAAAATGAAGAAAACCAAACACATGAGGAAAGTATTAACCCAAAGGACTAACGAATCACATAAACCTGAGACTCCACTCGCCTGAGACAAGAAGAACTAGATGGTGCCCAGCTACCACCAATGACTGCTCTGACAGGGATCACAACAGAGTCCCAGACAAAGCAGGAAAAAAATGTAAAGCAGAATTCAAATTCACGAAAAAAGACCAGACCTACTGGTCTGAGACTGCAGGAACCCCCCAGACTATGGCCCCTAGACACGTTAACTCAGAAATGAAACCATTCCTGAAGCCCACTTTTCAGAGAAAGATTAGACAGGCCTACAAAACAAAAAATAACACACGTGAGAAACGTGCTTCTTGGTTCAATCAAATATATGAGACCAAACAGGCAACTCTCGTCCAAAAGCATGACAAGAAGGCAGGAAGGGACAGGAACTGGAAGAATGGACACAGGGAACCCAGGGTGGAAAGGAGGAGCATGCTGTCACATTGTGGAGATTGCAACCAATGTGACAAAACAATACGTGTATAAATTTTTGAATGAGAAAGTAGCTTAACTGTAAACTTTCACCTAAAGCACAATGAAATTAAAAAAAAAAAGAAAGATGCTGATACAGTAAAATGCACACTATCATTTGGGGAAGGGGGTTGGGTGTAAAACTATGATAGCTTGTCTGATGCTTCTTTGCCCACTTGAGACTTCAAGTGCACACAGTACCCTCCCAGAGGAAACACCGAGGCACACTACAGGACCTTACCTGTGCAATAGGAACTGCACACAGTGTCACACCAAATCCAACTGCCACAGTTTTGTGCAACGGTCTTATCAATTCTGAGAAACAGCGCTTCTTAAAGTTAGCAGCGACAGGCACACGCTGTCTGTACCTAGAAACAGAAATCAAATTTAACAAGGCAGGATCACCAATCTCTGTAAAATTCTCTTCAATTTATTTGCGGGGTTGGAAACTCAAATTCGGTCCAAGCAGCAACCTAAGTGAGATGTAGGGTCAACTCTGGGATGACAAGGCAGGGTGGGGACAGTGGTGGATGGGAAAGCCCCTTACCTGCCATGCAGGCATGTGGGCCCAATGGATTTAGAATTTTCAGCAGATACCAGATGAGGAAGTTTAAATATTGTCTCAAAGCCTTCCGAAGACCTGACGCCAAAACGAACGCTTCTGCAGGCAGGATGTGCCTAAGGTTTCCGGGGTCTCTAATATTCGCGCTAGACAACACCTGGAGCCGTGCCCCTGGAGTCGTCCAGACTGGAGCTAGCAGGGTCCCAGCAGTGACTGCCGATTTCCTGGGGCCCCTTCCGCCCTTAGGGAAAACGTCCAGTAACAGTCCGCTACCTTCCGGGCCTCCCTTCCACCTCGCCGCGCTCCCTTTCCCCTTCCCGCATTCTTCTCCGTGACTTCCAAGGGCCAACCGGAGGCCGAGAGGACAGCCTGAGGTTTGGGTAACGCGCTTGCAGTAGACGGAATCCCTGATAAACTGCCCGTGGTAAACGAACCTTCGACCTGACCAAGGGGGCGGGAGGCGTCCGACCTCGGGCTGGAGCGGGGACGCCAGACTTCTCAGGGCGGCGGGACACCGCGGCCGGCTCTGCCGACGAAGGAAGAGCGCGCAAAAAAGGGCGGCGCCCCGCTCCCGGCTGTAGCACTCTCCGCGCCGCCTCCCTACGTCCCTGCCCGCCTACACTCCCGCAGCGGTACCTGAAGAAGGAGGTGACGCTCCGCAACAGCCAACTCCTCAAAGCCGCCATCCCGCGGCGGGCGTACGCCGGGCGCAGACGCCGGAAGTGACGCCACCTACCGAGACGGGGGGAGGGGCACGGCCTCCTCCCGCGGAGCGGCCCTTGCCTCAGAGCCTCGCCCCCTGAGGGAGCAGTCGGGATTGGTCAGACGAGGAGGGAGGGGGCGGGGCTTAGGGTAACCGTTTTAACTGCCGCCACGGGAGCCCAACTGCCGGACTTCCGCGCGGGGAGGTGGGGCTGGACCCTGGGTCTGAGGGCGCGAAGCCGGCGGAGCGGAGTCCGGCGCTGTGACGTGGGGGTGGAACTGGGTCCGGGAGGGACCGCGCCTCGAAAGGCGAGAGTTCACGCGTCGGCTCAGCAGCTGTGAGGGCGGGGACCTGGCGGCCGGGGCGCTGTCACTTCAGCACCAGGAAGTAGGTAGTCCAGCCGGCCAGCAGCAGCGCGCCTATGAGCACCGTGTAGCTGAGCAGCACGAAAGCCAGCAGCTCCCGCAGCAGCTGCAGCACGTGGATGGCAGACGAGGCCGGCATCGCCTGCACGGAGGGCCGAGGACCTGCAGGCGGGGCGCGGAGAGGCCCTGAGTACGGGACCGGGAGGGCGTCTTCCCACCCACAGACTGCATCGGCCATCGATGGATCGCTGCCGCCCGCTGACCGTTGTCAGACTAGGTCCTGGCCCTCAAAATAGTGGGCACGCTACGAAGGCCAAGGAAGCCCAAAGTGCGACTTTTCTCCTTAACAGCAATCTGGATGCTGTCTTTGCATTTACACTATAGAATTCTTCCTTTAAAAAAAAAAAAAAGTTCCCCTCATTCTTCGATGCCAGATCAGCACTGGGGCTGGGCTGTCTGCTCCAGCTGGCCCCTGCATTAGTCTCAGTGCCCGTCCCTCTCCTCCACCCACCTCCTGCATTTTTAATGCTGTGAGTGCTGCTAATGGGCTGCTGGCTCCAGGCTGTAGCGAAGCTTTCCCATCACTCATGCTGCAGGCCCGCTGTCAGCTCTGCCCGGGAAGGGAAGAGACCCACCTGGGCAGGGGGAAGGCAGCAGCCCTCACTGCAGACCCTCTGCGATTCCCCTGGCCCCAAGGCTTGTTAATAAGCGGTTTAAGGATCTTTGCTTGGTGGTCCGCACATTTTGCCCTTCTGGACCAGCTCGGACTGCTGGGGTGCCAAGTGGTGGCCATCCGTTTGATCCTGGGCTCCTCTCTTTCCCTACCACGCTCTTCTGCATCTCTCGCATCCCTGCTGCCTTGCACCACAGATGGACTCAGACGGTAAGGATCACAAACCAGCTCTTTACCTCCATTGCTGCCTGCCCAGCAGCTCCCCTTACTGACCACCACTAGCGTCCCTCTGTCCCCAGTTCACTCACTCAGCAAAGTTTCCAGAACTCCTCCACCACAGCTCCTCAGCTGGTCCGTCTGGTGCTCAAAGGCAGGCTTGTGCACACTCCAGCGATCTGGGTAGAGCTGTGGGGTTTTCAGGCAGCAGCAGCGCTCGCCAACTAGGTGTGGCCCAGAGACCAATTACAATCTCCGCGTGGTCCCTGAGCTCTTAGGGAGCTGCGCACAGGCGATCCCAGGCCAGGCGGGGCATCAGCAACCCTGCCCACCTCGCTGGTGTCTCCGCCACAGCCCACAGGCTCCGCGGTTGTTGTCAAAGCCCCTGACATAGGTGGACTGAGAAAGCAGTACACTAGGGGGTATTTCAAGCCCCTTCTTGTCTTGCTTTTCTAAACACTTCAGATGGAATATCGCCAAATAGTTTCTTTCCTAAGAAATTGACACTGAGAGCAGCCCCCTCCTACTCGGAGCCTGGGAGCAGAAGAATCATTGAACAACAACCTTCACTTATGACTGCCCAACTATAGCAAAAGCTGTTGTCTTAAAAAGCATGCAGCAGTAAGCATGCATGTGTGTGAGAGCCACGAGCCCCAGAGTGCTTGAGTCTAATTTGTACAAAGAGTTTAGTCGTTCAGAGGCTCATGATACAGGCATCTTCCCAATGCACCTACTTCTAACTTCCACTTCTGCAAATATGAGGCAACTGGGGCCACTCAATATTTCGGCAAGCAAAGAGCCTCTTTCTCAGATATGACAATGAAGAAAAGAAAGCACAAACTTTATGCTGCTTCTGGCTATTTTGCTTTTTGTCATAGTTAAAGTTTTCTGACCCTTTAAAAAAGTAGACAGTGTGGCCATCAATCCTTTTATCAACATATCATCCAGAAGCAAATGGCTCCTTAATTCGATGAGGCTCCCTCATTATCAAATCATTGCCTCGGCGGCAGCCTGGCTGAAACAAGAGCAGAGCATTATCCAGCTGCTCAGGAAGCCTGTTATAGTAATTGCTCCTCCAGAGAACCGGTCATCCGAGGGGCCTCTGTGTCCTGCCCAGTCACAGATGAAAAAGAGAGGCTACTAGAATAGGCCTGATTCTTTTCCCTTTGAACTCTTGTAACCTTCAAACATATATCCCAAGGCAGGTATGGGTTCTGACCTTTGCAGCCTCTAGTCACCACCCAATTTGGGGTATTTTCTAACAATGGAGTAACTGAAGCTAAAAAACACTGCGTGGCATGAAGTTCAATGAATCCACTTCAAAATAAGAAAATCCGGGAAATTTTTCATTACTGCTTTTTTCTTTGATTATTGGCTGACAAAAAAGGTATCTTCTATTTTCTACATCATCTTTAAGCTATACTATTGGGGGTTGAATTGTGTCCCCCAAAATACATGTTAAAGTCCTAACCCTTAGTATCTGTGAAAGCGACCTTATTTGGAAATAGGGTCTTTGCAGATGCAATTAAGATGTAAGCTGTATTGCAGTTAAGATACTGGATTAGGGTGGGCCTTATAAGAGACAGAGAGGAGAACACATGTGAAGGCAGACTCAGAGGAGAACAGCATGTAATGATGGACGCAGAGACTGAAGTGACACATGTAAGCCCAGGACGCCAAGGATTGCCGGCAACGACCAAAAGATAGGAGAGGAGGATGAAACAGATTATTCCTCAGAGCCTCCAGTAGAAACCACCCTACCAACTCCTTGATTCTTGCCTCTAAAGAGCTCTAGTGGCGCAGTGGTTAAAGCACTCTGCCACGTACCACAAAAGGTCGGCAGTTTGAACCAACCAGCGGCTCCACAGGAGAAAAGATCTGGTGATCGGCTCCTGTAAAGATTACAGCCTTGGAAACCCTATGGGGCGGTTCTACTCTGTCCTACACGGTCCCTATGAGTCGGAATCAGCGAGATGACACACAGCAACAGGAGCCTCCAAAACTAGGAGAGAAGAAATGTCTGTTTTAAGCCACCCTGTTTGTGGTAATCTGTTATGGCAGCCCTAGGAAATTAATACCCTGACTGAGTATATCAGGGTCTCAAGTGTCATTCACAGTCTAAAGAAGATGGTCTATGTGGCATCTGTATTTCTCTGCCTTGCCATCTTTATCACAGCCCCTCTTCCTGTCTGCTTTAGACACCCAGTTCATTTTGGTATTTTTTTAGAAAGTATTTTCTTCTTGAATTCAACTCTGCCGAATATAAATGCATCCTCCTGGTAACAGGCTAATCTTTAATGCACAATCAAGAACAAGAGGAGACAGGCCAGCATGTCGTATTAATCATAATTCCAGTGAGGGCGGAGCTAGAATGGAAGAGAACTCCAAGACACCAAGCTCTTCACCAGTTAAATGTGCTGTTTTCAATCCTTCCTCTTTTAACCATTACTCTCTTGCTTTTAACCCAATTAAAACTACAGTTCAGATACTTATTTGTTGGCTAAAATTTTAAACTGTATACTAAGACACAAAACATTGTCTATGTAGACGTCTTTATTAAGGGGACTGTGGATATAGTAGAACTGTCTACCCAACTGGACAAAAGTCCAGGCGAGATGTAAGCAATCCACCTTCTCCAAGAGTAACTGTACCATTCGCATACCCTCCTCAGTAACAGCATACCCCTCTGAGACAAAGACCGCTTCGAGTATTAAATGCACGTACACAATGGACTGTAATACATAGTTATCCAAAGCTTTCTATTTGCATACCAATCAAGCAATTGGTGTTTTCAAGTCTTCTGCTGAATGCGCTTTTAGGAGCTGACCTCACCGTGGTCTGAGCGAGCAAGTATAGAGTCATGGGGGAATGCAGACACAGGAGACTGTTTAACGGCGTGCCTGTTCACAGGACAAAAACCCCAGCCAAGGAGGCCTGACCAGACTTGAACTGAATCCCAGGAGCCGAACACACTGAGGGACAACTTGGATTTCACTCTCTAAGGCAGCTGTGGCTGACAACTGCTGGGGCTGGAAGGTATCAACTAATCTCCCCGGGGTAACAAGTACTGGAGAAAGGATTTTCTATAACAGGGATAGTCTTCTTTAAGACATTTCCAAACACTGAATGTCAAGCAAACAAACTGATTCCATGAGAAACAAAATTTTTAAATCTTACCTCTTCTACTCTTCATTCTTCTATTAAAACTCGTTGCTGTCAAGTCAATTCCAATTCCTGGCGACCCCATGCATTACAGAGCAGAATTGCTCCATAGGGTTTTCTGGCTGTCATCTTTACAGAAGCAGACTGCCAGGCCTTTTTTCCACAGTGCCACTGGGGGGGGGGGGTGCCAAACTGCCAACCTTTAGGTTAGCAGCCAAGTGCAAACCACTTGTGCCACCCAGGGACCTTCTTATGCTAAAGAGTTTTGTTTTTTAAATAACAGGATTTCTCTTTCACACATAACACGAGGTTGTTGTTAGGTGCTGTCAAGTCAGTTCTCACTCATAGTGACCCTACGTACAACAGAACAAAACACTACCCAGTCCTGTGCCCTTCTGTACCTATCAGAAATCCACTAAGGAAAAAAGTGAGGAAAAAACTCGTGTGGTTACTAATAATAGGAACTGCATCTGAGAAAGGGCACTGACTCTGGTCTCCCAGCAAACTGGGGACCTCAGGCCCTTGCCCAGCGCTAATTTTGCTGGAGGCCTGGGCAAAGGCCCTTAACTCCTCCCGACAATGGGATGTGGAATAGGAGGGAGACAGGGAAGACACACAGATCTCCAATGTTTCAACTAACACCCTGCTCCTCTCCGCCACGGCCTATCAGTGGCTGCTGGATGCCAAGATCACCGACTAGCTGCACTGAGGTGGCCGAGGTTACTAGGGTCTAGACAAAGGTGGGTGTTTTCAAGCAAAGCAGATCCAAGAGGTTGAGTATGGATGCCCGCACACCGCTAGAGAAGTCCATGTGGGCAGTTACCATGGAGATGGAGTGTTGAGATGCCGAAGAAGCAAGAGTCACCACTGCCCGCAGAGGGCCTGGCTGGAGGCTGGGACCCACGACAGGCAGGGAGGGATACTGAAACCTCAACAGAGGCACCTACAACAGAATGCTTGGAGTTGATAACATGTGCACTAGAATGGTTAAATTACCAGGAAGTACCTCCCTAATGAAGGAGCCCTAGTGGTACAGTGGTTAGGCGCTTGGCTGCTAACCAAAAGGTCAGCGGTTCAAATCCCCCAGCCGCCTTGTGGGAGAATGATGTGGTGGTCTGCTTCTGCAAAGATTTATAGCCTTGGAAACCCTATGGGGTAGTTCTACCCCGTCCTATAGGGTCACTGTGAGTCAGAACCAACTCGACGGCAATGAGTTTGGTTTGGTTTTTGGTTTCAATGTAAAATGCCCTTAATAGGTAAGGAACTACACAGATTTACCTTATCAGACAGATCATAAACTTTGTTTTTATTAAAATAGCTCCCCCCAGACTCTTGCTTTATTAGAAGCAAAAGGAAATAAAATTTGCCTTAAAGATCAGATAAGACAGAGACTGGAGACACGAAACAAAGTTCCACAGCGCTTCAGGGAAGAAAAAGAATCTCAACCCAGTGATAATGTTAGCCCTAGCCCCCAGGACACTTGTCACTGTCGTGAGCACGATGCACCTTCTAGAAATACAGAACTCTATCGGGGGCGAGACTTTTCACACCTATTTTCATTTTTACTTCCTCAGTCCTTGCTTGCTTATTTTAAGAACTGGCCCAATTTGTATGGCCATATGGACTATCCATCCCCACTATCCTTAATGTATTTCCAGAGACTTCTAATGAGGATCCTGAGCTGAGAAAATTCAAAACTAGTGTTTCTTTTACCCAACTTGAGTCTCTTCTACCCTTCTTTCTCCAAGAAATCAGAAACACAAAAGAGAAACAGAAAGGAGAAAATAGCAGTATAATTTAAGAAGCTGACCCCAAAGTAAACTCTGTATTCTTCCATTATTCTCCATGAGGCTTGCTTCACTTGCTTTCAGCAACTTCTTCGAAGAGGCTTACTCTGCAGCTCACTTGTTAAGTCTGCTCTGAACACTCTAGACGGGCTTTTCCATTAGCGACTCTATCCAACTGGTTCCATTCATGAGCTTCGTGGTGGCGATTACATACTCAGTCCCTCCATCTTCCAGCTGGGAGAGAAACCGCAGAGCGGCGATCTCTGCATAGGTCACGCCCCCGAGGAAAAAGATCAGAGTGACTCGGTTTTCTCCTGGTTGACCTGAAACGTCGACATTTCAGAATTCAACATCACTTATTGTTGGTTTTCTTCCCACCTCCTAAAAAATCTTTTCATTCATAACAACGACAACAACAAAAAGAAGCGTCTTGGGGCAGACATCATTTCACTGGAAACTCTGGGACACTGATTTCGATTTCACTGTTTTTTCTAACTACTGAAATCCTCAACTCAGAGGCTGAAAGCTGCTACTCCTGGGGGAATGATATGATTCCAGTGCTCACAATATACACAGGCAAGTAACAAGAGGTATCGTGGACTCTGACTCCTAAGAGCTTTACAAATGTATTTTACAAGCAACTGCATAAGACATGCAAAGCACCCTTATCTGCAGATCCTGGACTCAGACTCACGTTTCTTCTGCAGTCCAGTGGGCAATGGCTGCCGCTCCTCAAAGTGGGGTCCTGGGAGAATGCGGAGTACCTCCTCGATGCTCCGCCAGCCGGGCCGGGAGAGCAGCTGGGCTAGCCGCACGCTGAGAGGGGCGTAGCCACTGTACACATATGATATGTCCGTGGGATTCTGTTACATAACAAAAGGACGAAAGCCTGGAGATACAGAGACGCAGAGCCACCTCACCGTGGCCTTTTGGGTACTCCAAAATCATTTGATTCGCCTTTGAAAGGTAGAAACACAAACAGACCCTTCATGTCCTCCTCCAATCCACCCCAGATAGGCTCAATTCTTAATAGCCAATAAAAGCCACTCAAAGTATCTCTAGGTTCTGAAGATGAAATATTGTTACCTGATTTGGTAAAAACTATCACATATTTAAAAAAAAAATTGCAGTTGAGTTGATTCCAACTCATGGTTGACTCCATGTGTGTCAGAGTACAACTGTGCTCCACAGGGTTTTCAGTGACTAATTTTTCAGAAACAGATCTTCCAAGGTGCCTCTGGATAGACTTGAACTCCCAACCTTTAGGTTAGCAGCTGAGTGCATTAACTGTTTACAGCACCCAGGGTCTATCAGATATTAGTCGGAGAATAAACTAGCGGAAACTTCTCGGAGGGTAACTGGGCATTCTCTAGCTGAGTAACACTGTGCATAACCTCTGAACCCAGGAATTCTACTTTTAGGCATTTATCCTAAGAGAGACGCTTGGGGGATGGGGACACAGACCAAAGGCACAAACATAGTAACTGCAACATTGTATGTAACAGCAAAAGACTGGAAACAATCTGAATTTCTTTGAATAGGAATCTGTTACATCATAAAATAAGTACAAAAAAATAAAGTAAGTACATCCTCAAAATAGACCACTATGAAGCAATTAAAAAGACTGTGGTATCACAGAAGGATCCTGGAGATGCAGTATTAAGTGGTGGGGACAGGAAGGTCAGACAGAAGATGGAAGTAGTGAGGAGAGCTGTACTATTATGTACATCATACAACAGAGAAATTAAGTCCTGGTGACCTACTTCCGGAACTCAGCCAATGGAAACCCTGCGGAGCACAACGGTGTGATCCGCAACCCATCAGGGGGATGGCGCAGGACCAGGCAGTGTTTAGCCTGCTGTACGTGGGGTCACTGGAAGCCGGGGGCTAACTCGATGGCAGCTAACAACAACATCTTGCCATGGGGAAAAATAATCCATTCTTGCTACTGAAGGGGATGTTTTATAGTTATTTGCTTTGGTTGCAAGAGAAAGCCTAATAAAGTCCCCTATGAAATACTAGAAAAATAAAAATAAAAATAACTTCAGAAAGATTAGAATAGACAATAAATGTAAAGCTACGTGTGCCCTACTATGGAGACCAGTGGTATACAATACGCACCATTTGGTATAAAAAGGGGAGGGGGAAGTATACCCACATACTTTCAAACATTTGTATATACAGAGAATCTTTCTGGGAGGAGAGAAGACAAACTGGTCACAGGGGTTGCCTCTGGGAGGAAACTGGGGTAAGACGTGGAAGGAAACATACTTGACTTTTTACCACGTGTGCGGGACAGCCCTGCCCGCCCCCCCAGGCACTCTCCCCCTTCTCCACAGTGCTCTGTGCCCAGGGGGTGGACCTGTGGGCTCTATACCATCACGCTCCTGTGCCTCGGTTTGGGTTTGGCCAATGGAAGGCCCCAGAGGGAAACTCGAGGGTAGGCAGCAGTGTGAGGGCCAGGTTTCTATTGCCCTGGCTTCCTCTGTGACGTCGATGTAGGCTAGCTGTGTCCCTCAACTAAAGGCCCCTCGTCCCTCGTCTAAACAAACGGCCTCTCACACAGCTCTCCAGTTAGGCTCCACAACAGGCCTCTTGCCCTTCAGGTGGTAAGGACTCCTCCTGTACTAACTCTTCTTGGCTCCCCACCCCTGCCCACATCTTCACTGAACTCTCCTCAGACTATGCAGTCTGAGGGCGCCCTCTGCTTCCTGCTGCCACAACACATGAAGACATCGCTTTTCCAAAAACATGAGAAATTACCTGTAGAAAGTAAGGCCCAGTGTGCAGAGGACAACTGCTCCATAGGGGTTTTAAGGCTGTGACCTTTTGGAAGCAGACTGCCAGCTCTGTCTTCCGAGGCGCCTCTGGTTCAAAATGCCAAGCTTTTAGCTAACAGTCCAGCACTTAACCATTTGCGCTACCCATGGTCTGGCCCGATGTTGTCGGTATTGTGTGCTGTGAGGTCGATTCCGACTCATAGCAACCCTACAGGACACAGGGTTTTCTAGGCTGAAATCTTTCTGGAGAGGAATGGTTGGTGGGTTTGAACTACCAACCTTTCGGTTAGCAACCAAGTGCTTGATCACTGAGCCACTGGGGCTCCATTATGTTGTCATATAAAACCATTAATCAGTAATTAAACCAAGCTGAAGGGCTGGTGAGCGTCTTACTTGTTCGTTAACATCGTCCATCCAGAGCCGTAACGTTTTCCGAATGGTGGGGTAGTTGTTTCTGCCCCCTGCCTGTGGTCTCAGCAGTCCAGCCTTCTCTAGGCTGTACAAGGTCAGTATGTGTTCATAGCCGTAGGTCTACAAGATAATGGTCTTGATGTCAGTTCAGGAAGAGGGTTTCTGCTATTTTCTATAAAGAGCACTCCCAACAAATCCATTTGGTGTGTTCTCCAGGGCACGTTGCCAAAGGCAATGGCTGTGACGGGCGCAGGGGACAGGAAGAGGGACGAAACTTGTCCAAAACCTGCTTGCCCATTACAATTAATCCAGCTCAGTGATTCAACGAGATTTCAAAATTTCCTTTAAAATCAGAATTTATGGAACCAACCTAAGTGAACATCAAGTAAATTATCCTGTTGCCATCAAGTCAATTCCAACTCACAGCGACCCTATAGGACAAAGCAGAACTGCCCCATGGGGTTTCCAAGGAGCGGCTGGTGGATTTGAACTGGCAACCTTTTGGTTAGCAGCCGAGCTCTTAACAATGCTCCACCAGGGCTCCAAGTAAATTATAGTATAATCATATATGGGATATAATTAGTTATAAAAAAAAGAATGAGGCAGATTTATGCATCCTGATAAGAAAGATCTTCTGGATATAGTCTTAAGGACAAAATAAAAGTAATTATAGAATATAGTAGAGTTTTATTTCTGTTAAGTAAAAAAAGATATGATATATAATAAAAATAACCAATATTTACATATATAGTACTTTCTGTGTACGAGATACCGTTCTAAGCACTTTACACACATTAACTCAGTAATTCTTACTATAACCCCTGAGATGGGCTACGCTATTATTTCCATTTTACAGAGATGTTTCAATTATGTGCCCAAGGTCACACAGCTAGTGAGTAGAGGGGCTGGGACTTAGATGTAAGCAGTCTCTAAGTCTGTGTAGGTAAACACTCTCTGTATAGAGATATAAGGGGAGGAGGCTGGCAGGAAGCAAACCAAACTGCTGACCGTGGCCACACCTGGGAAGGGCAACGGGGTTCCGAGTGAGCGTGCAGACAGTGCCCACATTTTGCTCCGTGGACTTCCGCATGATTTCACTCTTATATGATGAGAATGCAGGTGTTATTTGTGTAATTTTTTAAAAAAAAATACCAAAAAAAAGTTTAATGAGCACTTAATTTCGACAATAATGTACTTAACTGTGACCAGTAATAGCAAATAAACACTGCATGAGACATTTTTAAACAAGGAAGAATTTAAAAAATAGTGGTGGGCTTTTCCTTATTATAAAATGTTGTTGTGTGCTGTTGAGTTGGACTCACAACGACCCCATGTGATGAAGCAGAACTGCCCTATAGGTTTTCTTAGGCTGTAATCTTTATGGAAGCAGATCGCCAGGTTTTTTCTCCCATGGAGCCGCTGGTGGGTCTGAACCATGGACCTTGTGGCTAGCAGCCAAGTGCTTAACCACTGTGCCACCAGGCCTCCTCTATTATAAAGTCACACAGGCTTAATTTAAGTAAGCTTGCTAAGAAACTGTCATGAGAAACTTGAAAAAGTTCTCTTCTTCCATGGCCTAGCATCTGGCTAAGGGCTAATCCCAAATTACATAGGTTTTAGCCCGGGGTCTACCACTCACTAGCAGGGTGATCTTGGGCACAATATAACGACTCTGCCTCCATTTTTTCATCCATAAAATGCAGATCATGTAAGTACCTAACTCACAGGATAGTTGTGAGGATGAAATAAATGGAATACTCCTACAGCCCTTTCCATCAGGGCCTGAGACAGAGTGAAAGCTCAATAAATGTTAGCTGTTGTTAGTATTACACAGATTGGGAGGCACAGTCAACAAGGATAGTTCCGAGAACAATTGCTCCAGGTGTTAACAAACTAAAACGACACTGGTAACAATATATTATAACAGGAGCTTTGTGAAGTACTTTTAAAAAAGAAGTCCTCCATAGCACCACTTTTCACAATAGCCAAAAGACAGAAACAACCTAAATGTCCATCAACCTATCACTGGATAAACAAAATGCAGTATATCCATAGAATGGAATACTGCTCCGCCATGAGGACAAATGAAGTCGTGGTACGTGGATGACCGCGGAAAATATTATGCTGCGTGAAAGAGGGCAGACATCAAAGGACACGCCTCGTATGACCCCACTTATAGAAATAGCCAGAAGAGGCAATGCACAGAGACCAAAGTTCATTAGCGGTTACCTGGGGTGGGTGGGTGGAGGGGTATAAAAAAAAAAAAAGGATGTTTCCTCATTGGCAAATTAGTAGTTTGAAAACATACTGACCTGGAGAATTTCTCTTCTGTAATAGTCCAAAACTTTTTGTTTGAGTCCACTGTTACACACGGACTGGAGGCAAATGAGTCTTAACACCTTGATCAAGGGATGCTTTTGGGCAATACAATCCTCAACGTAACTGTTGACCTAGAAACAAAGAATATACATATACTAAGAATCTGGTTTGGGGACTGAAGGGCAACACCTCATAATTACTGTTCTTTTTCAAAGTCAAATGAAAAAGGCCACATGTGGGAAAACGGCTCATTCTTTTTTCATTTTCTGAGCCCTGGTGGTGCAACGGTTAAGTGCTCAGCTGCTAACCGAAAGGTGGGTGGATCGAAACCACCCAGTGGTCCTGCAGGAGAAAGACCTAGTGATCTGCTCCTATGAAGATTACAGCCCAGAAAACCCTGTAGGGCGGTTCTACTCAGTCACACGGGGTCGCTATGAATCACATCTATCAACTTCATGGCACACAATGACAACAACCCCTCCCCTAGCAGGGAGCTCCTTCAGCCCTATCCCCAAGCCTCCACACCTCCACACAAACACACCAGAAATTCAGCCAGGTCACAGGAGCACACAGCCAGCGAGGCAAGCCAAACAACTGTCTCGACACGTGTCTCTACGGGAAACCTCCGAATGGCTCCCAAACGTTTAGGGCTTCAGTGACCCAGTGGATTCCAATAATCTCAGCAATTTCTCCGACAAAGTAACAGGACTTTTTTCCAGCACTTGGGAATTTTCATAAATTTAATGATTGCAAATGTATTAATAGAGTTTAAAGGGGTTATATGACAAATCCAACAAGCAAATATCTCAATTTATCTATTCTAGTCTTTAATGATCTTTGATTTCAGGGCTGGCTCTCATTTCTCTGTGTTATCACAGGAAGGGCCTTGCAGAGAGTTATATTAAATACTTGTTACTTGATAAAAATCTCTATTTTCACATTTGTTCTGAGAAATATTTAGGCAGGGCGTGCGAATCAGAGCAACTGCTATGGGTTATGATCTCACGCTAGCTAAATGAGCATCATTTGTTAGAACAGCGCTACCATCTACGTACCTTATCAGTGTCTATTCCAGACATAAACTCTTGCTCCACAGTTAACTTATCAAAGAAGTCTTCGGAGGCTACAAAATAAACAGCAAATTTGCAACTTAGACATTAAATAAATGTGATTTACCTGAGAGCTGCGCTTATTTATATGCATTTATACACAAGGATGTGATTAAGAAACAAAACATGCAAAAAAGCAAGCAAAAGCTCAAACCATCACCTGTAAAAGAACCTTCCAGAAAACATGAAAACCCTATAAGCCTTGAACTCCTGAACTACATTTAGATATGGTCGATGACTGCACCCCTTTGTGGTACTTTACAGATCTCAGAAATTGGCAGAATGAGCCTCGGTATCAGTGCAAGCTAATTTTCCAAGAGCATTTCATTTTTGTCATCAGATTCAATCTAGTTTCAATTAATTTCTCTTTCTATTCACATGAAACCAAAGGACTAACTTCCCAACACTGTGTTTTATCGAAGATTTAAAGTATACTTCATAAAACAGGGCGCTGAACAATCTCCCACTCAGCTTTTACAGTCTTGTGTTTTAAGGAACGAACTGGCATCCAGTTTAATATACACCTTCTGAGCTCTTTCAAAATATTCAACAAATGCTCTCTATAACAATTCTGCAAAAAGTTTTCAAGGGGAAAAATATCCCCAAACAACCCAGAAACATCACATTGCTCCCCAGGTGGTTTAAACGGTTAACATGCCGGCTGTTAAGGTTGCAGGTTCAAGTCCACCCACAGGCGCCTCAGAAGAAAGATATGGTGATCTACTTCAGAAAAATCAGCTACTGAAAACCATACGGGGCAGAGTTCTACTCTGACACACATGGGGCCGTCATGAGTCAGAGTCAACACGACAGCAACTGGCTTTAACAATTATAAAAAAAAGCTAGAATAAGTAAACTAACCACACTGTATGATGGTGCTAGACTTGTGGATGGATTTTCTTCTCTTCTGTATATTCCAAATATTTTGTCATACGGGTAAATTATTTTAATAATGAAAAAATTGAGTTAATGAAAAGTGGAACGTTTTAAACTATTAACATACATGCACTTCATTACCACTGAGAATGATGTACATTACTAAGACAAGACAGGCTCTCCCAGGGGACGTCACGGTGCCAGTGCACCAGCTGTTGGACACTGGATGTCTAAACCCAGAAGAAACCAACCACTCTGGAGAAGACTCACTGGTCACATCTTTGATTAACTCTGCGATGGAGGTGTGGTTTGCGAGGGAGCCTCTTGCCGCCTGCATGTGGGGAAGCTGGGAAACGAACTGCTTAATCTCGCCGACTGTTTTCGCGTTGTGCCTCTCCTGAAATGGGCAACACAGCAGAACCATCAACTAGGGAAGACATTTTATTTCAAAGAGTCCTATTATTTGTATTGTTCAGAGGATGTGCACACTTCATGTATGTTAAGGTCCAAATGAAAGGAAAACTAATAAATCAAGCCAAACCCAGTTCTTACATTACAGAAAAAAAGTCTAAGTAAGTATACCCCTGAAAGTAGAGCACGTGGTGCTGGTTTACTGCACTGCATTTCAGAGAGGAAAGCCTGAGGTCAGCCTTCCTAGCCACCAGCTCATACCTTGTGACCAGTATCTTGTGGCCATCTGAGCATTTGTGGGGGACCAACCAAAACCAAAACAGTTGCAGTCCAGTAGCTTCGGACTCACGGCGACCCTATAGGACAGAGTAGAACTGCCCCGTAGGGTTTCCAAGGCTGTAATCTTTATGGAAGCAGACTGCACATCTTTTTCCTGCGGAGCAGCTGGTGGGTTTGAACCGCTGACCTTTTGGTTAGCAGCCAAGCACTTAACCCCTGCGCCACCAGGGCTCCTTTTGTGAAGAACAGTAGTAGGTAAATAAAGAAAAATTCTCAAAAAAAAAAAAAAAACTAAAAAAAAATACTGTAAGAGGGGATCACAGAATACCAGAAAGTTTCTATCCTCTGTAACACAAAAAAATCCATTCTTCCTGCAGAATCTAAAGTGTTAAGTGCTGTCCATAAACAAAGTAAACCTCGCTTTGAGATAAGAAACCATTTTTTTCATACTGCAAAATTTGATGAGTTAAGCCAAAAGTGACTTCAGAAATAGGCAACATTAATTAATGAATATGATTCCTAAGAAAGGTAAAATCGTGAAGTACATACTCAGTGGAAAGTGAGTGTTCAAAACCTCCCTCCGTTTGTTTTCTAAAGATGAAATATGCATCGTTTACCACTGCACTGAATTCTCGCGTTTCAGAAATGAGCTCCCCCAGGAATACACTCCATGAGTGGGCACGAGGAGGCAGGAAGGTGATAATGAAGGCACCAATGTAAACGCTGCCCTGCTGGGATTTCAAGCTCATTATTACCCACCACAGCAGCAGGGGTCCCAGCCACGGTCGTGTTGTCTAAACTTGAGGCTTTCATCCCGAACCACAAGGTCTGCTATAGAGGACAGCTTATTTATAGCACAGCTGGCTTCCTCTTTGGTGAGGCAGGAGATAGTTTAAAAGAAAGCAAAACAAAAATTCATGACAAAAGCTTGTAAACCGCAAATACTTTAAAAAAAAAAAAGAAAAAAGGGAGAGGGGAACTTAACACAACACCGTTTTTTCACCGGTCTGGGAAAAGTTTGAAAAGAAAAACTTGGGGCCTCCAATAATTGAATTTGCAATACTTAGGACGAGAAAAGCGGCTCTGGTGGTGCAATGGTTAAGTGCTCGACTGCCAACAGAAACATCGGTAGTTCAAACCCACTAGCCACTCCGCAGGAGAAAAGAGCTGATGATCTGCTGCAAAAAAGATTTCAGCCTAGAAAACCCTATGGGGCAGTCCTACTCTGTCCTACTGGGCTGTTAGGAGTCAGAATCGACTTGACAGTCCACCACAACAGGATGACAAAGGCCCCTGGGTGATGCAAAGGGTTTGTGCTCAGCTACTAACCTAAAGGTTGGCATTTTGAACCCACGGAAGAAAGGCCTGGAGATCTGCTTCCATAAAGGTCCCAGCACGGAAAAGCCTATGGAGCTCAGTTCTACTCTGACACACTTGAAGTCGCCATAAATTGGTGCGGATGCAACAGCAGCTGGCTTGGTTTGTAAGATGGGAAAGGGGCGGCCACAATGAAGGCTCACCGCCTGCCTGTATGCTGTGGGGCTCTGACTCTTCTCCTCGCCAGGTGGGCAGTCCTGCCTGTGACGACCACCCCGTGTCTCACCTCAAAGGCCGCCGAGATGACCTTTGCTTTCTTGCTCAGCACGGAGCCCACCGCGTTGAAGTTTTTATCCCGGATCTCGGCGTAGAGTTCCTCTGCAGAATTCAGCTGGAGCTTCTTGGCTTCAGTGGGAAGATCCTTACCGCTGTCGCCCTGCTTCTTGGGTGCAAATTTCTCTGGAGGTAATTTCACGTAACCTGAACGACAGTGGGAGGGAAAAAAGTTCCTGTGTGTGATTAATGGGAGAACCAGTCAAGCAAGGGCCCAGACACAAAGCAGAATCATCCAACGCAGGAGAGAAGCTCAGATGGGTTAGAAACAACAAAAAACAGTGTACAGCACCGAGCTTTTGATTTTTCCAGGGTCCAAGTACAGAACACAGTGCTTGTTTAATATAAATATCATTGTTCTAATTTTCTTATGTAGGAAGAAAGGCCTGGCGATCTACTTCTAGAAACTCAGCCAGTAACAACCCTATGGATCACAAGGGTCAGATCTGCAACTGATTACGGGGATGGCGCAGGGCCAGGCAGCATTTAATTCTGCTGTGCACGAGGTCGCTGTGAGCTGCAGGTCAGCTCGACCGCAGCTAACAACAACAACAGAAACTATTTTCTCATCAGGCGCTAAACAGATCACTATAGCAATGTCCCGCTCCTGAACTCATTCAGGAACCGGGTCACTTTTCCAGCCAAAGAACTACAAGGGTTTCCCCATTGCCTTCTAGTGATTTTCAAACTGTCGCCATGTCCCATTCGTGGATCATGAAATCAACTTGGTGGGTTTCAACCCACACTAAAAATAAAACAAAACAACAGCAAAAATAGAATGGAAAATACCAAAGTACATCACATGAAGCCTGGGTGGGTGTTGTTTTTTTAATACAATTTTTGTTTTCACAAAAGAAAAAAATAGATAAATTGGATTCATCAAAATTAAAAACTTGTGTGTTTCAAAGGACACTATCAAGAAAGTGAAAAAACTAACTAGATAGCAAACAACAATTATCTCAGGTGAAGGGAAGGACAGCACACACTACAGGGCAAGTCAGCACAACTGGACTAAACCAAAGCTAAGAAGTTTCCTGAATACAATCAAACACTTTGAGAGACAGAGTAGCAGGGATGGGGGGGTCTGGGGACCATGCTTTCAGGGGACATCTAGGTCAACTGGGATAACAAAGCTTACTAAGAAAATGTTCTGCATCCAACTTTGGTGAGTAGCATCTGGGGTCTTAAAAGCTTGCAAGCAGCCATCTAAGATGCATCAATTGGTCCCAACTCACCAGGAGTAAAGGAGAGTGAACAACAAAGTCACAAGGAAAGTATTAGCCCAAGAGACAGAAAGGGCCACATTAATGAGAGACTGTATCAGCCTGAGACCAGAAGAACTACATGGTGCCCAGCTACCACCAATGACCGCCCTGACAGGGAACACAACAGAGAGTCCCTGATGGAACATGAGAAAAGTGGGGTGCAATACTCAAATTCTACTAAAAAGACCAGACTTAATGGGCTAAGACTGGAGGATCCCCAGAAAGCATGGCCCCCAGACTCTATCAACCCAGAACTAAAACCATTCCCAAGGCCAACTCTTCATACAAAGATTGTACTGGACTATGGGACATAAAATGATACTCGTGAAGAGTGTGCTTCTTAGTTCAAGCAGATACATCAGACTAAATGAGTAGCTCCTGTCTGGAGGTGAGATGAAAAGGCAGAGAGGGTCAGGAGCTGGCTGAATGGACATGAGAAATCAGGGGTAGAAGGGAGGAGTATGCTGTCACAGTAGAGAGAGAGAAATTAGGGTCACATAACAATGTATGTATAAATTTTTGTATGAGAGACTAACTTGAATTGTAAACTTTCACTTAAAGTAAAACAATAAAAAAAAAA